AAAGCATTGTGCAGTGGTGAAGGAAAAAATAATTGAAATGACTAAAATAAGTTTGAAGTAATAAAAAAACGAAATAAAAGAATTATCAATTCTAATCTAATAGCATAATAGAATGAAAGATTTGATACATGCTGAGCATTGACCATAAAAACACTTCGTTTACATTGTGCACATTTTCATTTTCTTTTGCATGGTAAAATGAAAAAAACCGCATGATATTATTTGCTGATTGCCATTGTATTTTTATTCGTTAATTTTCTTGTACAATTTAGTTACATTAAAGTAGTATCTTTTGTTATGTATTTTATACTTACAATTTTTATTTTACATTCAAAGTAAGTATTTTGGTTTTTTATAAAATATTTATTTCCAGATTAATTTTGATTTGAATTAACATTTTTTACAAATAATTCAGTGATTTTTAACGCAGGATCGATGTTTTTTTTATGTTCGAATGATTTTGTAATTGTAATCGTTTCTCCCTACAGGAGTCTATTGCAGTACATTGACGAGGAGTTGTTGCTAAGGTATCGGCAGGTAACCTTTTCCCTCGCACACGCTATCGCACAGACTTAACTTTAACATACACTGCCGCATCACGCTTCTTAAAGTAATTTAATGCACATCATTCTTTTTGTTTTTTTTATTTTTTTTGTTCTGTCTGTGTTTTTGTCTAATATTGTATTCCAGTCTTGGTCCGTTTTTGTTCATCTGTTTTTTCATCGGTAGACGTAAGATTTTTTATGTCAAATTTATTACATATTTAGCATGGAATTTTCGAGATTCATCGATTTTATTTTCATCATTGTTTATGTTTGCATGAATATCGATTGCTTTCTTTTCTGCTTGTCTCGAAGTAATCGTCGCACTGGAAGCTTCAGCCTTTGCTTGACCCTAAGATGTTATAACTCACTATAATGTTAATTAATTTAAGTAAATATATTTTTACCTGCATATGTTCCTAATGAAATATATGTCTAATCAGTTTAATAAGTGTCGAGCTTCGGTATTTAAAAGGAAAAAAGACTAGAAACTAATGTTATTTTACCTAAATACCTCATATATTCTCTTTTATTTCAACGGAACTCCTTTAATGTTGTAAAATTGTATAAATGCACATAAATTTGAATTTTAAAGATTTGTTAATAATTAAATTGACATCCCTGTAACAGAGCGTATGAAAGAACAAAAATTGTGGAATCATTTCCAGTCTGTTCATTAATAAATATGTGAATATAAAATAGTTGAAAATCATGGCTGGAAGAAAAATAATATTCAAGAATAGAGTAAAAATAGATACTTTCGTGTGTTCAGGGGAAATGCAATTGCCGGGCATTGTGACCAGCTGTATTCGTTGCAGTAAGTAGAAAAGCGAAATCATTAAAAATGTTCCCAACGAAGCTCGATTAATATATATGCTTAAAAGAAAACGAGAAAAAATGTCATAGATCTTAGAGTCTTGTATTTTTTGATATTTATTTTTTGCCATCCAATATATTTTAAGTAAAGTCTTTTACAAGACTATACTTTTAAAACTAATCGTTTAATTTCGCTCGTTTAAGCATATTTGTGTTTACTTTTAGAAAACACATTATTAATTTTACATGAATAAACTCATGTATGAATAACCTGATGAATAAGTTGATGTTTCTTTTATTTTCAGAGCAACGTTACCTCTAGGCGAGACGTCCAACGACTGCGAAATTCATCGAAACTTCTATGGCAATTCGCAAGGTACGGTTGATTTAACAAATACGTACTTAGTTTCTTGGTAATTGAACAAAAGAAAGAAAGTGTTAGTAGCTTGTAGAGTGTTTTTGCAATCGACGCTTTTGTAAATTCCTGTAAAAAAACGTTATAGGAGTATGAGGGGAATGGTAGATGGAAATTTTGAACTATTCGTTTTACATAATCCATAGGTAAGCTTGGAAATGTTGATGGTTATTGGATTCGTAAGAGTATTTGTACAAAATTGTGATGTATATACATAGTGGTATTAAACATTATTGGGAGCCAAGGGCATTTGTTTAAATGACCGTTACAATAAAAAGCTTTCGTTTACTTATAAATGCTGGCTCAACTCCAAGAGATCATAATTAAACTTGTCATTTTAGAAAGTTTTAAATCATTTCTCAAAAACAAAATCAAAATTACTTAAAACAGATGTAAAATCCTAAAAATAATGAGAATCTGTATTATTACAGTTATAATTTTTTATTATTCAAAGTTGATTCATTTACCGAATAGCTATTATCTCTTGCATTGTAGCCAAACTTAAAATTATAAATGAATTTTTTGGAGAGTAATTAGTATCATAACAGAGCACTATGCAGTAAGTATTAAGTAAAGAAAAAAAAAACGTTGTGGTGAGTGTGTATAAAAACGAGTAAGACGGCCTAAATCTCAGGGTCGCAAACGACGAGTCCTCGACGACTGCACAGCTCGATGGAAGAGTTGTCTGGAAACTCAGCGACTCTACAAGCAGGCACATCATTGTCAATGATGCTGGAGACTGGGCAGAGACAGCGTTCATTATCCGACAGTACCAAACGTCGTGATCTATCTCCCCATCAGTCTAATGGTAAACCGAGCACGTGTATTAGGTGTGGATATAAGCTCCACGGCTTTTGTCTTCCATTAACTTTTTTGTAGTTTGCTGTAGTGTATATATATATACTAATCGTATGTAGCTTGCATGGCTATTGCATTTTTTTCCTATGAAAATACGCAAAGTAGAATAGTATTAACAGAATGCATTGTCATTGAAACATATAATATTTTTCGAGGAACTTTCAAATGAATATGTCTAAGAAAACACCATCAATAAACAATATTTTCTTACATTAACGAATACAAATGGCACGGAGTATTTATAATCATCACATTGTATATCAAACAAAAAGAAAACCTACACGAGCATGCAGCTTTTCAAAGGAAGTATATCTTGCAACACCGATGAACATAACAGCATCAAGACGAAATTTGAAAGAAAAATACACTTCCAATGTTATTTTTCACGCAAATCCATAACGCCAATTTTTTTTCAGGCGAAAACGACTCGTCGGACAATGGTGACGATGGAGTAGGACCAGATCTTTTGTCGGACACACCACCAGTGCCACCGCGAAGAAGGGATCGTAAGAGGCATACGCCGCCAAGACCGATCAGCAATGGCTTGCCACCAACGCCAAAAGTTCACATGGGAGCATGTTTCTCCAAGGTGTTCAACGGCTGTCCTCTGAGAATACATTGCACGGCCAGTTGGATTCATCCAGACACGCGAGACCAGCATCTGCTTATCGCCGCCGAGGAAGGCATTTACAATTTAAATCTGAATGAGCTTCACGAAACGGCTATAGATCAACTGTATCCAAGGCGAACGATATGGATGTACGTCATAAAAGACGTTCTTATGTCGTTGTCAGGTAATCAGTGATACAATGCCCTTTATCACAAAAATGAAAGTTCCGTAAGATTAATCGAAGGTTGTCAATATGTCAAGGTAAAACACCGCAGCTCTACAGGCACGACCTGCTGGCGATGCACAGCAAGCAGACACATAGGTTCTCGCTGCCCATGAACAAGATACCCGAGCGACTTGTGCCAAGGAAATTCGCTCTCACCACCCGAGTGCCAGACACCAAGGGCTGCACCAAGTGTTGCGTTGGTCGAAACCCATATAACGGGTACATTATATTTGATTCATTATCTTTGCCGATCGTAGATTATTAACATTACCAAGTTCGAATCTTTGTAGATACAAGTATTTATGTGGAGCAATGCCGGCTGGTATATTCCTAATGCAGTGGTACGATCCACTGAATAAATTCATGCTACTCAAGTATTTCGAGTGCTCGTTGCCGTCGCCGCTTAACGTCGTCTTCGAGATGATTATCACACCCGAAATGGAATATCCAATGGTGTGTGTCTCGGTCAAGCAGGCCTATCATCAAAACAAATTGAAGCTTGATCTTATTAATATGAATTCCGGAGCGAGCTGGTTCCATAGCGACGAACTCGAGGAAATGGACGGCTCTGGTATAATATTTTTCTCCCTTTTTAATTGATCGCAGTTTTCTAATTTCATTATATGTATTCGATTCTAGAGAGATAATTATTAATGATCGTCATTATTTTTCTAATTGTAGCAACAGTCATTCCACGAAGAGAAACTCTTCAAGTTGTTAGTGTAGCGCAGCTCGAGAAAGATGCCATTCTCGTTTGTTACGACAGTAAGTTGATTGTCGTGCTTTTTTATTATTCTTAATTACTAGTTGGCTGACACGAATTTGAGTATAATTTGTTGTTGTTGCTTGTCTTTGTTATAGAATGGATGAAAATTGTAACGTTAAGTGGGAAACTGAGGACCAGTAAAAAACAAATATCGGAGCTTCAATTCGACTTCAAAATCGAATCGATAAGTAAGTGAAAACTATAAGATGTTGTCCACAGCTAAATTGCTGATTTACTGATTTGCATGGTCACTATGTCATGACAATGTCGATGCTTTTCGATTGCAGTCGTATTGCCGGATAGCGTGCTTGCCTTTCATAAGCACGGAATGCAAGGTCGTAGCTTTAAGAACGGTGAGATTACGCAAGAGATAAGTGATCCAAGCCGAACCTACCGCCTACTAGGTTCCGACAAGTGAGTTATTCTACAACTATCGACAATTCCATTACTTATACAACTTTAAACGTTCCTACTATATTGTGTCTAATTTTATTTGTGTAGAGTCGTCATGCTTGAAAGTCATTTGATGCACACAGGCACGTTAAATGAGAGCGAAGGCGCCGATCTCTACATCCTTGCGGGACATGAAGCAAGCTATTAAAAATCAATTTGTTCGAAAGCTGAGCGCGCGAGCTTTCGAAATGATACATAAATCGCAGCAGACTGCAACGAGTAGACTGTATATATATATATATATATATATATATATATATATATATATATATATATATATATATATATATATATATATAAATGTTGGGGTTTTTTTTCGTTCTTCACTGCGTTGATGCAGCAACTTGTAAGTATTAATTGCGGTTATGTAGATGCTACGAAAATCGCCCAGCAAAAACAAAAAGAAGAAAATACTCCAAATCTAGCTTTTGAGCTAGATCAAAGCTTTTGCATTCCTCGGGTATCATATACTTTTGATTAATTCTTGCGACGAAGCGCCGAAGCTGGTAGGACTATTCGTTTGATTGGTATGATCGGATAATAAAAAAAGTCCGTGGAAAATACATATTAGAACGAATTTAATTTTTGTTTCGAGGGCACAGCATGAAAGTTTTGTCAGTCATTTGTCTTCCTCCCTCTTTACGTAGATGGAAATTCGTAAAAGGGCATAGAGCGCCGACATATCGACAAGAGTGCAACCATTTGTATTGTGGTTTGTGTGATTATTGCATCTTTAATTTCGCAGTGAATTTTTGCGGCACAAACATCCGACAATAATATAACGTTCAATATAGTCTCTTTCAAAAACATAATGCCATATTAATAAAAATATTATAAAAAATGATAAATTATCATAGTAAACAAAAATCAACAAAGCAACTGAAGCAATTATTAAGAAAAGTTTCATTGCGAAATTAAAGTCTATGGGACTTTGGTAATTCAAAATAAACTCAACAGTTAAAAGAGTCTATTATAGATTCGAATAGAATGTATATAAAAGTGATTTAAAAAAAACGATATATGCAGGTAAAACGATTGATAACAAGGAAATAAAAATTTTAGACGATAGATATCCTATAGATAAAGTAGAAAACAGTAGCACAGCGATAAAAAAGTACCTGTCAGCATCGACCACAAAAGAGAAACAAAACCAATACGGCTATGTCTCCGCACAATCATACCAAATGATATTTTATTATTCGGGCAATAAGTCAAGTGCCCTAGTGAACTTGGGAATCAACGATCATAAAAATAAATTTTCGTCTCTGTAGAATAATTTTAAACCTTTTACGAATTCTAATGGATGCTAAGTTTTATCTTTCTTCTATGGAGACGATTGAGCTTTAAGCTGTTTTTTCAAGTTCTACAAGAAGTAAAGTCGTAGAGCAAAAAAGAGAAAATTATATATTTAGACGCTCGGATAGAGTTGAATTTCAATTCCAAGAATAATTTTAGAATTTAACACAAAGATGAGGTTCTTTAATTAACAATTCTTAATCATGTAAAAATTGCTTTAAAATTAATTGTGTTACACTTTGACAATCTTTAAATTTTAGAATCAAAGTTATCTCCAACTATATTTTGATAACATAATTTTGATGGGAAAATCTACTAAAAAGATATATATAATTACACAAATGAGACAGAAAATAATGGTTGAATGTGATTTATGAATTTGGCGAACATCCGAGCGGAGGTAGCTAAAGAGATGTGTTCTATTCTTCGTAAACGTGCAACTCGAGTCGCGTAACACAATTCGACTGTTGCAAGAAAACTGGAAGTCAAGAGAGCGAATTGAAAATATAGAAAGTCGAGATTAGCAAAGTACTTAGATTTAGGAGAGAAAGAGAAATCATGTTATGAGAAGTGTTTTAATGGATGGCAAGCAATTATTGCCAGCACAGTTGTACATAATGTGTATAACGAAGCGTCACTGCTTTCGGGTCTTCGGCTGTTTCGCCTGTTTTTACTTTACCCTTGTTTTTCGTCACTATTATTATTACAATTAATTAATTAATTATTTTAACTTGTCTTCTTTTACTCAAAACGGAAAAAAATATAGGAATTTATTCAATTATAGGACAGTATTGAATCTATTTATTATCGTGATTATTATGCATGATATTCTTGTATTATTGAAAATTGTCGCGATATTATGGATTAGCATAATTTTGCTTACATGTGTAACAGCGACTAGCCAATGTTTCTGTACATAGAGAAACTTCTCGTAATAAAACTTGTTTCTAAAAATTATCTTCATTTTACTTGTTCTCTTATTTTCTGATATGTTGTTTAATTAGAAAAAGATATGTAGGATATTAAATAAATATGGAAAAAAAGTAATTTATCAGTAAAAGTACATTTATTATTATCTTTAACTCGATACGAGCATTTTCACTGTAAATTCGATTAAAAATGTACAATAAACCTACGAAAATCCATAAAAATTAGTTGAAAATGGATGGAGATCTGTGTCCGCGAAATTCAGTTCAATCTTAAACTGGTTTTTCATCGATGTCAGAAAATCCTTCTCATTATTTTCATACTACTCTGTAACGCTTGATAATTATAAAATACTTGTACTTTGCCTTATGCAAGTTTAGACTATAACACAGTTTTTAACAGTAGATTTAAAAAGACTCGAAAAATTATTTGCAATGAGACTAAAGCTATAGTAGTAAAAAATGCATAAAGTTTATTTATCGCACGACATTATGGCCAACTTGTCCCGTCATTTCTCTTCAATTCCAGCATTGTAATAATTTAAATCGCATCAGCATGAACGCATCGAGGTTTTTTTGCACCATTGTATAAATGATAATCTAATAATAGCAAGAAATGTCAGCCTTATCGCGAGTTTGTGAGTACAAATTTTTCTATGTATTAATTAACAAATTTTGGCTCGTAAATTCCTTCTATACAATACAGAGTTGAACATCCCTTTTAAATAGTCATTATGCTATAACAAACACATCAATTCAACGCGATCTAAAGATATGTATACTCAGTTATTTGAAAACGTTTTCTCTTCAATAAATTTGCATATTAAGTAGATATCTATACAATTTATCAATGAAATTGACATTAAGAGTAGTTTGCATTATTCAAATTTTGGCAGTAATAGCTATTTTTTTATTATCGACGGAACAATCGTAGTTTTGCAAAAGTGCTATCTTACTCGTATAATAGTATCTCAGCTGTACAACCTTCATTTCAAAACTCTTTATATGGAAAGAACAGTTGAATGATAAATTTAGCATGAAATCTTTGAGATCATCGTTATTGAAGTTAAAAAAAATCAAACGAAACAATTTTTTTTTATCACAAATTACTTTACAAAAAGAGTGAAAAAAAAAAAAAAAAAAAATAATCGAGTCATTAAATAATTTAAATTCTTCATTTCTGTACGCCCATTCAATCTATAAGACCTAATAAAACTACAACGAAAAAAAAAAAAAAATTCGTGACTCGCACTGGAGTCGCGCCTAGAAACTTCCCAATCACAGTCACAGGTGGAAGTTTTCACACATCAACTTGTGCCTGTAACTGGCCGACCATCTTTTTTACCCAGCCGATTTGACTTTGACCTGCCGATACATCATCCTCTGTTGGCTTCTCCTTGGTAGGTGATACTCTAGCGATTCTAGCGCGCAATTTGAGATGCGCAGGTTTCTGCGTAACAACAGGTTTGCGGATTTTCTTCTTCATAGGAATGGGAGGTGGAACCTTCTTGGTTGGAGCAGCTTCGGCAGCGGAATCGCCGTCGCTGAATATTGCACTATCTCGAAAAGCTTCCTCCGTCTCCGCGTAATTCTCAATGGTCTCGAAACTCTTTTCATAAAAACTATCCAGCTCGTTTTCGACCACCTTTTCCCGTTCATGTTGACTATACATCGGGCAGCTACTCTCGGCTTTCAGTAAAGTTTTTCGATTCTCCGAGAAGAGGACGCTGGGATCGGCATAGTCAGATTGTGCTATTCGTGCACCTAAGCTAGGACTACCTTGACGGTGGTATGGCACCTCGAGGTGAACTCTCACGCCATTATTGCCTGTCGCGACAATACTTGCCACAGCATCTTCAGCATCGGAAACGTCACGCGATGACGATTTAATGGAGTTCTTGTGCTTGTTGCGTTTGCTGAACGAACGGAAGTAACGGCTGCGCTCGAACTCTTCGCTGCAGTCCAAAGTCTCAGTACTTTGACTTGATCGCAAGCTCTGTATGCGACTACTGGCTCTTGAGAAAACATTTCGAAGACTCGAACCTGTTGTTATCGTCATCGTTGTTGTTGTTCCATCATTGTTAGATTCTGCGATCAAATTGCGTCATCGTTACTTTCAATTGATTATACAACATCATTAACGTTTTGCATGTAGTTTTCGATTTTAACTCATAAAATTGTAATTGCGCTTCGGTTGATTCATTTCGCATGACGCATAGCTTAATGCACTTGTTCAGTCGTGAGTATAATCGAATCATATACGGCTCATTTGTATTTCAAATTACGAAGAATTATTTATCTAATCAAAATTTGAATAAAATAAATATCTTTCGAGTGCGAAACTATAAGAAAAAAACAAATTCATGAAAACGTACGCCAATCAATCGCTATTTACAAGATGCTATTCTCTGCGTCATGGCCTCTCCGCACGAAAATAGATTGCAATCGCATGAATCACTCACCTTTATTAACCGATCCATTAGCCCTGTAAATCTTGTGATCCGGATGCACGTAAGTGCTGGTAGACAGTGTGGCTGTCCTGGACGATACGGAATCCGCATCGGTAAAGGAGGCATCGTCGAGTGAACAGAAGAACGTCGATGATGATCCAGTTGTTGGAAATTTGGCTATTCTTGCTGAACCTTGACACGTAGATGCATATCTCTCCATATCTTCCAGATTAATTTCAGCAGGCTTGTCGGAAGCGATTGTAAACGGGCGCTCGCTCATGGATTTGCCATCTCGCTGAAGAAAACGCGATTTCGAGACATGACTCAAGTCAGCTGGATTCATCATCTGAAAGCTGCGCGGTAAAGAACCAGACTTTTGTGGTTGATTAGGTAAACCCTCGCAGAGTTTGGTCAGCCAGACGGCAGCTTTAGTTGGGCAGTCTTGATGCTCATCTGGTTCGAGGCAATCATGCCACGAATTCTGCAGATTGTCATAAGCGCACAGGCTACTTTTATCGCCGCCGGGATCTTCGTTCTTTTTATTTATAATTGGCGCCTCGTAAATGGCTTCCTCTTGATCGGAAGCCGAGTCACAATCTTCGCGAATACGCAATGCCGTGCGAATAATTTTACTTCCGGCTCCAAAATTTGGCTTTTTAAAAGTGTCTGGTGGCGAGCGTTTCTCATGATTGGGACTCTTCGTCGTCAACGTCTTCGTTGGAGCAGAGTTTTGCCGATGAATCATCAATGGCTCTTCCGCATCAACGTTTCGAAAGCTATCATACTGTGATCTGAAGCTTCGTTGATTGTAAGCATTGACCGCTCGTACAAAACACTGATCCCTCCTCGAGAATCGCGATCTCGTTCTGTTATTATCCGGCTTGTCTTCGTTATCCGTATCCTCCTCTTCGGAAGTGTCGCTCTTGTTACACCTCTGATAAGCGTGTTTGGCAATATTGCTGTGCAAACTGCTAACATTTTTCTGATAGGTCTGTTGCTTCTCAATCCTTCGCTGAAACTCCTCGCTTTGCATCAGTATATTACCAACGATCTCCTTGACGCTTTGCTGTTCCGTGCTCACTTGCTCGGTGCTGTTCTCTTTGGTTTGTTCATCAAGCTCATCAATGTCTTTGCTGCTTACAGTCTCTTGAGTCAGAGTCGTCGGCGTTTCCGACGTCTCGTCTTCGTTGTCCGATGGATTCAGGTTAATGTAGGACTGGAAACCTGGTTCGGATTTCCTTCGCCAACTCGTGAAATGATTCTAATCAATGGAAGAATCACTCAAACGAATTGTCATCGACTATGCATAGCAAGTGAATCATAACGAACCTTAATCTTTGACCCACGAATTTCGGAGCTCCGATTTAGGTTGTCATTCCTGGAACCATAATGTCTGATTGACTCTGCCGACTGGTTTTTGCGGGAGCACATTGGCGAATTCTGAGAAAATATTGAATTGTAGACATTCCCAACCCCGGATTCAAGTGATGGCGAGCCGTTGTTTAGATATTCAAAATACTTACGTCAGCTGTACTAATAGACACATCGCTCTTTCTGCCTTTCTTCAATTTTTGCCTAATGCTGATTTCCGATCTCCGCCTCTCACGGTCTGCCTTCTTGCTACTACGCTCTGACGTCAAGTCATCTAAAGACCAACAGTCGGTCAATAAGCATGCAAGCGCAAAAAAAAAAAAAAAAAACAAAATGAAAGAAAAGAAAAGGCCTCACCTTCGTACTTATTCTGACCGATTTGCAATACGAGTTGTCGCGCGTGGGCGGGTATCGCCGCGTTGTAATTCTCCAGGATAACTCTTTTGATTTGCAGCGTCCACTCGCGTTTCTGCTCCAGATTCCGAGCCTGAAGTTTGTACTGCAGCTGAGAGTTGTCGAACGGTATCACGTGGAAGCTCAACGGATCGCCGGGAATGCTCTCCATTAACGTTAGGTTTGAACACTAAAAAAATCATTGAAGAAGAAAAATACACAAGTGAAGGAATGAAATCGAGTCTTTTCCCTGCGGAACGTTGAAAGAAAACCAACCAAAATGTGAGCCTTGTAGACGAGCAAGCCGTCCTCTCGTTTCTTAGTCAACAGCAACATCTTGTCAAAGAGGAAAGCATGCCGCGGGGCTTTGGCACCTCGCATACGAAAGCTACCCTCGGCTACGAGTTCGCCGCCAGTCGTGAGATCTGGCCCCGGCCAACCCAACAGCAGCGATTGGATCTCCTGTACTCGCACCGCGTGCTCGTGCTTACGTTTCATCGCGTTGATGTGCTCGGCTATCCCGGTCATCGCTTTTAGCGCCTCCTCGATTGCCTCGCGCGTCTCGCCGACTTCGAATTGCTTTGACAATCTCTGCGCACAAGACACATGAGAGCGTGAATTTTTCTTGGCCAAATCGCTCGAGCGAAGGAGCAATGGTAGGCTACCTCGAGCAACAGGTGATACTTGAGAATACGTTGCACCGGTTTCAAGAGGAACGACCCCAAGGGCAAGCCGTGCGCCAGCGCCAATTGCCTCTCGCTGAAAGCTCGCGCGATCTCCTCCTGGTTGTTCAGTTCGGTCAACAGCGAGCACGTCCGCGGATAATTTGTGCAGTACTCGGTGTAGACCTTGAAACCGGCGTTGTGCTCTACGAAATTGTTCGCCACTGCGACCGGATCCAGTCCACTTGCGTCCAACGCCGAGAGAAAATTACTGAAACGAAAGTTTGTGATTGAACGTTTGTTGCGTTGAAAAAAGCGTCGACGAGGGGTACGCTTACCTATTGAACTCGTAGATGTCCTCGATATTGCTGAACAAGCCATTGAGCTCGTGTTCGCCGATCAGTGAGGTAGGATCGTTTCTCCAGATGATCAGATAGCCCTGCGCGAGAAGCTTGGCTTAGTAAAAGCGTTCCCATTGCTGCTCGTTTAAGCTCATTTAACCGCGTCAAAACACACCTGAATGACTTGGCGCAGATTGTCAACGTACTCGGCCTCCGTGATCAGGATCTCCAATAGTACCCTCTCGACGGGTGTCCGTTGGGGATCGCAGTAAGGTGGCCGTCGCTGATCGAACGGCCGCGCCGCCGTCGCGCGATCTACCTCCGACAGGCGTATCTTCAGCTTCTCGCGTTTGCTGCCGATCGTGTCGACGCCGTTGCCGCTCGACTCCGAGATCGTCACTACTCCACTGTCACCCGAGCCTGCGCACACGTCGATGGGCGCGGAGCGCTTTATTTTCCTTCTTTTCGTCAAGCGCTATTTCGCCGTGGAGCCTCTCGGTGCGCTACTCGAGTCACCAAGCCGATCGGCCTGTTTGGCGCTTTTCCCAGACGTAAGGCAATCTCGCGAGACAGACTGCCGGCAACCGAACGGCGACGCGAAATATCACAGCGAGAAGACGAACTCTCGTCCGCTATTTTGCGCACTTGCGACTCACGAAGAAAATTTTCGCGGCAAGATGTTAATCTCGTTTGCTATATGGACGCAGGTGCCTCCGCCAGGCCTTTATTTCCTTGCCTCGACGGCAAAACACGCGCCACTTTGTCATTTTGCATTGGCGAAAGAAAGGGATAACGGAATGCTGCGTCGCCTGACGCGCAATGATTCAGAGTCGAGGACAACAGCGAAAAATCGCGCGTTTCATGCTCTATCGGTCGTAGTTTCTTTTCTTCTTTTTTTTTCGCCTTTGTCGCGCTCCCGCGATACAAAGAAAATTATCACGCCAAGGACCATCTTTGCTCTGACTGAACCCCGAAGTGACGAGTGCTTATTGCGTTTTTCCTTCCATACGCAGCGGCTGAATTTCTGGTGAAAGTATATTTACGTAAAGCTTGCGCGCGCAGCGAGACGAGTAATTTTTTGGCAACAACAGGTTCTCATGCGCCAAAAGAAAAAAACAAAAAAAAAAGCGAGTCGCGTGCCAAATGGACTCGGTCCGTTTCTTCGCTCGAGTTCATTGTCTCTCGAGTGTACAGATATGACGCTCGCGCGGAAGCTGTTGTGCGTAGGTAGCTCCAATTAAAGTTGTAATCGCGATTGCGCGAACTTGATGCCGAAGTGCGCGACGAGCGTCGCCGGGAAAGAAAGAAAAAACAAGACGTCGACTGGCCTAAACGCAATAATGCTAATAGCGAGCGATTGATTCGCGCGCGCGACTACGTGTCAACGAGCGAGCCGTCGCGAAGAGGCAGTCGATACGAAAAAGCCGCGCGGCGAATCCGCCGCGGATAGACGCCGGCGCGCTCACCTTGAGAACTGGCGCAAGTATCGGCGAGCGATTCGACCGAGGCCAAATAAGGATTGCAAGCGGCTGGACAACTGCCGTGGCTGCTCGGATGACGATGGCGATGATGGTGCTGGTGGAGGTTGCTCAGGCTGCAGCCGCTCGATGAGCTCGACGAGCCGAGCGAGCTGCCCGACACCGGCCTGCTGCCGTTTTGCTGCTGATGGCGACGTTGCGCGCCGTATCTGTCGACGTGTTTCGAGTTACCGATGAAATTTTGTATCGTAGATCGAGATCGCGCGAGAGAACGGTGCGTCGCTCTCGGGATCGCAGCCAGCGTTCGTTCGGTCCGACAGACGCGAGCGCGGTTACGTATCGGCGTGGTGAGCAACACGTGGAACCGCGAGCACAATGGTTAACGTAACGCGAGGACCGTGCTAAGCGCAATAAAAACAGAAAAGCGTATTTATCGTTCCACCGTCGAACAATTTCAGCTCGGTAAAGCCCAAATTTCATCACGCGCAATTACCGCCGAGTGCGGACATGTATCAACGTTCGACATGTGTAACGCATGTGTGATGCAACAGAAACGAAAAGAAGAGAGAAGCCTTTAAATCCTCTAGCACTCGGATAGGAAAAAAAGAAGGCATACACGCACAATAAACGTCGAACGTGCATTCCACGACCGTCACAAAAAGGACGCGTGCGGCACGCGGGGAATCCGATTAACGGACTTCCAAAGCCTCTTTGGAATGGGTAATCTCCCTCTCCCTCTCCTTCTCCCTACCCCCCCCCCCCTCTCTCTATTTCTTTCTGTTGACGGATTTGACAAACAACAAAAGTAAAAATGAATTAATGGCGCTACGGAAGAGGGTGAGAAAGCGGACGCGCACGTTCGCCTGGCGCCGAGTGTTTCGCGCGAGAGACAAGTGTTTTGCGTCAAGATCGCGCGCGCAAATAAAAAAAAAACAGGAGAAGCGGGACTGAGAAAGAGAGAGAGAGAAGAGCGCAACGTGCAACAAGATCTGCTTATCGAATTCCGCGTATAGCGTCACAGCCGAGCGCCGATGATCTGCGGTTGCCTGTTACACAGATCACAGCGAGGCGTGTTATATCGACTACAGCTAAGCCAAGTGCGCTAACTCGACGAACTCGTCGTCCTGATTACGCGCGATCGACAGTTGGATGTCAGCGAAACTAACCTGAACTGCGTTGGCGAGCCATCGCGACTGCAGTTTCCGCGTGATAGTCTGGGACTGGACTTGTCGTCGAGATCTATGGTCGTGGTCGACCTGTGATCCTCCGGCGCCGGCGACATGTCTAGGACGACCGAGGCCGCGCGCGATTCGCGCCTCTGTGCGAAACTCAGATGCTTGTGCTTCTGCTGCTGCTGCTGCTGCTGCTGCGGCTGCTGTTGACTGCACGCAGTTGCTGTCGCGGATGCCGCCGGACGCTTAGCCAGCTCGTCGAACATGCCCAACAGCTGGGGCACCAGATCCGCCGTTGAGCCTGCAACGGCAAAATCATTTTTCTTGCGTCAGTCACGTGCTTTTCGCCAAATCGTTGGAATCTTTGTGTAGACGTCGAGACACGCGGAATGAGATAATTAATGCGAAGCAGCATATACATTTGCGTTATTCTTTTGTACATTTTATTTTATGTAAACATGTCAATTCACAACCTAAATATCGTAAAATGCAGCGCAGGATTGTACTACCGGAATAGGCAGCTGTGCGCATGGTCACCCACAAAAATTTCCCATGCTCTCTAGATTATAAAGAAAAAAAAACAATAACTCGTGCAAGAAGTCGCAGTCTCACGAATTGCGCGAATTGCGCGAATTGTGAACGACTATTTACGCTTGGCAACGGATTTGCGTGTGAAGTGTCGCCAAGCTCTCCCTTTCCCAAAGTATACGCCTGACGTCGGCTAATTATAAAACGATAAAATATCATCGGACAGGCCGGATTAACGTTCTACGCGCGTACGTACGCGTTCTCTCTCTCTCTCTCTCTCTCTCTCTCTCTCTCTCTCTCTCTCTCTCTCTCTCTCTCTCGCTTTTATTTTGTTCTGTCGGAATTTGGTAACGGCGATCCAGATTAGTTCCGGCGCGTATTACGCACCCAGCACCAGGTCGATTAATAAGAATGACGAGATTCCGGATTTCACAACTCCGACAAGCGTTTTCCTTGTTTTTTTTTTGTTAATCAATTCGAGAACTGTTTCTAATTGTCCTTGTGAAGCAGGTCACTCGACCGTATATTTCAGTGTCAGCGAGCCGCGCGGAAGAACGTAAGACGTCTGATTTCGTTACGTAAAGGAACAGAAGAAACGCTCTTATCTGCGGCGCGAATGACAAAACGAAAGAAGAATGAGAAAAACTTTGGCGACGTACGCGCGTGACCCAATTAACTCCGAAACCATGTACATGAGATTGAATGTGTTACGCGCGCCCGAGTGCGTTGGCCGACCTCTCGTTCGTTATTCTCTTTCTTCTGTTTTTCGTTCGATTCACGGGCGCGCGCTCGCGGATGAACGCGTTACTCAATTCGCTGGCCTTATCGAGGCGCTGATAAAACTCGACGCCAGAGCCCTCCCCCCAACGCTCGCGGGGCATGCGTGCAATTTGCAGGAGCAACTAAGACTAAAATCTGCTCACCCTCCGCTCTGTCATCTCGCCACCAGCCGGCTGAGTCAGATCGGCGCGGTACACGCGTACGCCCGATAGAGTACAAACGAATCGTCGGTCGGTGAATCAAGCTGTCGCAGCGTCAGCGCGCGGAACGAGAGGAATGGAAATTCACTCGCGGCGAAGCTGCGAGAAGGCGCCCACCTGCCGGACAAACTAATGCAGAGAGGAGGCTGTTTCAGCGCTCCTGACACTTTTACCGCGGAAAAGAGGCCTATGAGGAAGGAAAGAAAAACGATGACAAATGCACGCACTCTCTCGCTTGTATTTATAATCGCGCGGCTCCGAAGCCAAAAATAATACAGATGAGCGTGTCCCTGGATGCTTTAAACGCCGCTTCACGCCGATGCACTCCATTACGGATGTATATAAATAACGTGGCGAGATACGGCGCCTCTGCTCGAGTGCGATCGATGGACTCTCGGCGCGCTTTCGACATTCGTCTGGGCGCTGCCGAAGAGCGCGCGACCTCGATCGCGGGCCGAGCAGTCGACGCGGCGAACGGAGGGACGGCTCGGGCTCGTTGAACCGCGCCTGAAAAAGACCCCCGGCCGCGCCGCGGGCGGATGTTTATCTCGCAACTTCCCTTTTTTCCCCAAGCTCGATTTTCTCAGCTGTTGTTTGCCGAGCGAAAACAGGCTCTCGTTCGCGGGCTGCGGCCGGACGAGCGAGGGAAGGGCGGGCAGGTCACGGATATTTTCGACCATTGACTTTGCGCCGCGCAAGGTGCAGACGCGGGGTCCGATTCCCGTCGACGCGCGACATCGCTCGTCGTTCTGGCCGGGCGGCAACGCTCCGCCAAGCCGGATCGCAGGAAACCGTCTGGATTCCGTCGGTGTCACGGACAGTGGCGCCGACATCGCGCGCCCGCATCGCGCGGACGGCGAGCGTTATTGGCCTCCCGGCGCGGCCCCGCGCGGATGCGCCGAGTCGAGCTTTCGAAGCGCGCTCGAGAACCGCCGAGCGGATTTACGGCTGCCGCTCGCTAAACTTGCCGCGAATCGTTCGGGACTACTCCGATCGATGTACCGAACCAACGCGTTGCCTTTTCTTTGTTCCCAGCGCGAGGAGCATACGCGTACATCTGTCTGTATGCGTGTGATTGCTCGAGGGGTGAGTAGCTCAAGGCGGTAAAAGCGCCCTGACATCCCGAGCTGCAGTCGCTCAAATAGACCATCAAAGACGCGCGGACGGAAAATCCACTTGCATCGCCACGTTATAATTCCCTCGTCGTGTGTTTTTGGGCCGAGTGAACTTGGAAATAGAAACGCGCGGCGGGGCCGATTTTTATTCTGCCGTTCCGCGCGTGATTCGGAGAAAGCGAGTCATAAAATCAGCCGCGTCCCCTTTATTGCATGAGGGGCGAGCAGGAACGTCTTGTTTACGTCTCTCTCTCTCTCTCTCTCTCTCTCTCTCTCTCTCTCTCTCTCACACGAGTGCGCACGCGTGCATGCTAATGCTCTTGCGCGTACGTGTACGCGAGCGTAATAATTGCGGACTCGGAGTGTGCGCCAAATGCGCCTTGCCAAAAGAGGGCCGCGGATCGATCCTTCAATTTGTCACAAATGGCCGTGAATAGAGTGGGCCTTTGTCGTCGATTAGCGATCGTTGAAGAGCTCCAAGGCGCGCAGCACAATTAAAGCGCCATTTGGGAGCTCAACGTTCGGTCGTACGCCGCGGCAATTAATGAAATCTCGCAGTGCATTCACGAAATCGCAATTGCAGCTGGCACGCGCGGCAAAGAAAAAAAAATAGAGGAAACGCAGACCGCCGGCGCTCGCTAAAGATATAGTAACGATCCTATTGTTTGTCGAAACGAATGTCTATATATCGCGCAGAGATCTTTATTCTCGGAGCAATTATCTTATCGCAGATGTATATTACGGCCGTAGGCGACTTTCGCTGTACGCGTGCGCGGCGCGATGTCGCACGCTAGGCCGACCATTAGCACGCGACACGGAAACTTCGTTCGCCGATTAGCATTGAATTTATTTGGCGATCGTTTTCGAACGCGTTTCGAAAGACAACGAAACAATGATAATCCTACCAGCCGATCGTCGACGACAACGACAACGATGGTTTTTTAAATACCGCCGACGCAATCGGAAACAGTTACGTAAGCGCGCACTCGCGAAACCGAGTCTCGCTCATTTTATTTCACCATTTGTTTATTTATTTACTCTCTTGGGGGAAAAACAAAGCGCGAATTGTCGTTTCCAAGCAGCGTAAAGCAGAGGAAGAGATCGTTTCGCAAAAAATGAAAATTGTCGGAGCCTCGCGGATGACACGGCACGCCGCAAGAGTCGTATGGCATTACGGAACTTGCAATTTTCACAACGTCGAAGACGCAGTCCGCGTTTGCGCAACAATGCAGGCCCTCGATGACCAACGCGACAAGTGCGACACGGATAATCTCGTTTAACCGCTCGCGTCGGTCCACGCAGGGGTGGTAATTGCCACGGTCATTACCGCGCGACGTCGTTTAGCATCTCCACCTACCAGGCGCGCGGTGCAATTGCTGGCGAGCTTCGGATTCCACGGGCGTGCTTGAACTGCGCGCCAACTCGTCACGCCCGCGACGAACGACCGGCATTTCAGAGGAGTGCACTCCTATGTTCCAGTTGACAGGTCTCGAACAGATAAGAGACGTCGCCCGGCACGCGGCTCGATGCTTATTTTCTTGTTTTTTCGGCTAACGGTCGTGGCGCCTTCGAGAGGAACGAGACGTTCTCGTGGCTCACTAAGTTCGCGGAATCTTCTTTCGTCTCGCGTTCCAATTCCGTGCGATCGATTTTTTCCTCTACTCACTACTATTGCGAAGAGACTCATCGCCAAAAAATTGAAAACGAGCACTCGCTGTCCACGCGCGTGATACACTCGATCGTCGATGTATATATAAGTCCGACGAGTATAGATAAGTAAAAAATAGGAATGTCGTAATGAACACAGCGAACCAGACGTGGCTGCGGCCAGAAAATACAAATGCAGCGCTGCTTTCCAAGGAGTTCCCCTTCCACCCCCCCCCTCTCGACGCAGATCTCTTGTACTCCAGTGAGTCGCGCGCTCGAAGAATCTCCTCGCGAAAAGCTCGCAACGCGACGGCGGTGCGTGTCGATCGTTACCTCGAGGCTGGCTCCGGTCCCATCCTCCGGACGCGCACACTGTCGGCACAGCGATTTCAGATACCACAGTGTCGACGACAACAACTGCACACGCGCACTATCACCGCGCCCGTGGGTAAAAAGACGACGTCGCGGCACGATGTGGCCTTCGCTCGCGCTCGCGCTAATACGGCCACGGCTCGAGCGGCGGCGGCGGCAACAGGTAGAAGAAGACTGAAACGCTCCTTGGATGGAAACTCGGCGAACGGGATGAGTTTCGAGAGCGGGAGAGAGAGAGAGAGAGAGAGAGAGAGACTAGCATACCTGCGTCGATTCTCTATCCCGCAGTGCCGCAACGCAACGATGCGGTCGGATTGTATATCGTGCGCGCACGCTTTCCAAGCCCCTGTTACGCTGCGCGCGCGCGCGCGCCTTCCGTCGGATTTCTCCGATGTGCGCTCCTTTTCTCGAAGATCGCGCGCGCGCAGCAGGAGGAATTGGCGCGGCCGAAACGCCGAAAGGAGGCTCCGACATTCCGAGCCGCCGCTCGACGGCGCGCGCTGCGCGAGACCGAACCACCCACGCGACCGCGCCGACAAAAGCTGCGTGGGGCGCCACGCGCTGGCGCGGCCCATCAGATCTCGGAGGGACAGCGCGACGCGCACACGTCCGCCGAAGTGCGCGCGCCTCTATCTCCCGGCCGATCTCACCATCAATCGAGCGCTGCTGCCTCCGTCGTCGTGCTCCTCCCTTGGCTCCCCGAAATAAAGTCCAGTCGCGCACACGCGCACTCGGCCGCCTCGGGTCGTCGGGCGGCTCAGCGCGATCGCGAAAGCCCCGACTCGCTGCTCGACTCGGGCGGCAAACCACGGAGATCGGAGTGAGTCATCGACGGCACGTTTGCTTGCTCTTTGATGTTGTATCGTGTCCGGCGCGCGCGCGCGCGCTCTCACGGGTGGCACACGCGAATCGCGACTATCCCAAGCTCTCTCGGCGCTCCGCGCGACTAGCCGCGCGGCGGCCGGAGAACGCGAGGAGGTGGCGGCGGCCCGCTGGTGGGAGGCACCTACGGTGGGAGCTCAATCATCGTGACGATGAATTGCAACGAGAGACTGCAGCGGAGATGAGTCACGCGCTGCCACCGCTCTTTTTTTCCTCCTTCTTCTTCTTCTTCTTCTCCTCCTCCTCCCCCTCCGCCTCGGCCGTCTCCGGCCGACCACGAGGAAGTTCTCGCTGCTGACCAATTTGCAACGAGACTCGAGACAGCTCCCGCGCCGCAGCGGTGCGGTCGTCTTTCGGCGACAGAAGGAAGTTCGGCCGGTGCAGCGAGCGTCGATGCGACGACGTAACCCCAGAGGATGCAAAACTAGAGGTCGACTCTCCACGGTGGGATAAATCCTGGCTTTGAATGCTCAAACGCGCGCACGCGCGATGCCTTGTTCTCATTCTGGTCGCTCGTTTCCTTTTTGTGGTTTTCGCACGCGCGCAGCCTCCTACGGGGCCTCGGGAGATAAGAGCGAATAGCCCCTCGCAACATTTGGCCCGCGATGCGAACGGCTCTTGCCCTCTTTGATTCAGTTTCTTGGGGCGTCGCAGCTGTATCAAATGAAGGCTGCCGGGCAGGAAGCTACGAACTTTTCGTTTCGACGGAGCTGCGCACGTCCGTTGGGCCGATAACGAGCCTTGTCCCGCGGTCGCGCACACTTTCACGCTGCATCCGTTAGATTCTCGTTGCACTTGTTTATCTTTGAAGGATGCCACGCGAGCGCTCGCTGAATCGGCAAGCAACTTTGTCAAATTCGACTCGACAACTCCCCGTAATTTACAGGCGGCCCCTCGCGCGTTCAAAGTTATTTCTTTACGAGTACGTCGGGGACGACGAGTAATCTGTTTACAAGGCGATAAAAAAGGCATATTTTTCTCCGTCCGAACTTTATCTGTCGCAGGCATTTTGGACATCGAGAAAAATGGCTGAGCGAGATAACGAAGTTGTAAAAATAAAGTACTCATCCGTGCAATCGAAAAGACAATCCAGCTACGTACTGATATCTCCAAATGCAACAAAAAAGACCTCGGAAATACGAGGCATCAATGATCGATGATTGGCGTTGCTATTAAGCATCCACGGCACTGTATCATCTCATAAAACGCAATCGAATCCTGCTCGTTCCCTGCGTCGGCTGTACAATACAAACGTGTCGATGTATAATAGAAACTAGTCCGCTGCTCGAACGGTTTTTCCTAGTAGGCGTGTGTACGTGTGGTTAGTGGGTGTCGTGAGGTCCGGCTGCCGCTGCTCTTGCAGCTTGGGAAAACAAAGAGCGTATATGGAGAAGTTGGCCGCGGATGGAAGAGGGGAAGGGGAAGGTCATTGTTCTTTAATAGCACCTCATCCCGCCCCGCCGCATCCTTCCGATTTTTCGCGTATCACCGCGCGCGAAACAAATAATTCGTAAAAAGCGACGATTCGTTTGGCCGCGCGCGCGCCTTTCCCGGAGCGGCTTGTCGGTTTATCGGGCGCACGGCGCGGAGACAGGACGATCGTTTAGTCGCCGTCGTCGCGAGCGGCGTCAAGAGGGTCCCCCCGACAAGTACGTCGCGTCGATCCCGCGCGGCACGAGAAAAAAGGAGAGCGAACGAACCCGGAAAGGGGAGAGAGAGGATGAGTTTGGCGCGCTCGACTGGACCGAGTAGAGGAAAAAAACAACCAAGACCTCGAGCTCGAGCTTTCGGAGTGGATCGCGGGCGCCACCCTCCCCCGCGCACACGACCAATTAACATAAGACACCCACGCAGCGGCGATTGTTTTCCTTTTTCCGCGCCCTTCGGCGACTCGCCATAACTCACATTCCGCGCGCGAGCGGCGCGGAGGGGGGAGGGGCGGCACAATGGACGTTAAGGAGGCGAAATTCCAAGCGTCTACGGTCATATGCGATCACGCGCGCGCGCGCCGAAGACGTGGAGTTTTTGTCTGGCTTTCTTTTCGCTCGGCAGCTTCGCCTTTTCGCTCTCATTCGGCTTAATTATTATGTATGGATTTTCAAGGATGCCCTCGGGCTAACGATTATCCCACGAGCCGACGCGTGGGGTGCTTTCCTGCTTCTTCCCGAGCGGGTTATTGTATTGTAATGAGGCTGCGACAGTTGCTCTTCTCTTTGCCGCTCGCAGGGATTTTCAGCTTGCGAGAGCCCTGCCCACCATTCGCGATGCGCCGTCGATTTTTATATTATTCGCATCGATACTTTTTGTCTCCTTTCGCAAAAGTGCGCTCGGCAAGGGGCTTAAGTCGTTAGCAACGGACGCGTCGCGAATCTCGCGGTGTGAGAAAGTCAAAACGGCCCAACATTGGCACAGCAACGTTAACCAAGACTGCCGGTACAGGCCGCCAGTGCTGGTCCAACGTCATTCGGGTAACGAAATGATAAGAATGGGCCAAGGTTATATTTTCAGTAGTGAGCCATTGCCGACGCATTGACCATGGCTCAGTACTGGTAACGCAATATTTGTTGTCATTGTCGGACAAGCACACTATCAAACTAATAAATAAGAACACATTTTTTAGCGTCAATGTTTTCTTTATTTATTATTGAATTATTTTACATACTACGATAAGTAGTACTACGGGATAAGTCAAGCGCATCAAGTTTTTTTATAAAAATATTGCCATTGTCGCTACAGCTGGTGCTCGACGATGAACAGAGAATTTTCCTTTTCAAGGATCTTGATTTTTTGAGATATGAATAACTGTTCAGCATTGCGTGGTATAATGAAAACTACTCGGAAAACACGATACTTATCATATATTTTAGGTTAAAATGTTATTATTAATATTCTTTATAAACATGCGCATCATGATTAACGATTAGTATTGGGCCAGCGCCGGAAAACAAAAAATATTAAAATCGTTCAAAAATAGATTATTGGTACAGTATTGGCTGCCGGTGCTCGGACCATTCTTATCAATTCAATGTTGGCTCAAAGCCGGTCCAGTGCTTGACAAAACTAGGTTTGGTTGTCAGTGCTCCAACAGTATTGGGCCGTTTTTGCAGTCATGGCAATTCTTACACGAGGTGACGGCTCTCAGTTTTTCAGCTGCCGCGCGGAAAAAGGATAAATAAAGACAAATAAAAGGAAAGCCAACGGTGAGTCGCTCGTGTCCATTCGAAATTTCGCCAAGGGGAAAGAGACGGAGAGAACGTAAGTTGCGCGGTAGGCGCACGTACTGGTGTTGTTTCGAGAAAAATCCCAGGCACCCGAGAAGCCCATCCATATTCATATTGCGCTCTGTCCCGGGGCTGCCGCTTTGCGAGGCAGAGGCGTGCGAAGCACAAAGAAGAGGCGCACCAACGTCCAGAATTTCACGACCCAATTCGGATTGGAAAAGTTTTCCCATGACTTTGCAGGTGCTTGTCCCTCTCCGCCGCGACAAAACAAAAGCTTCTTCTTTTCGTCAGAAGATTAAGAAAACTCGCTGGAAGCGTAACTCGACTCGGCTGCATTGCGCGGAGTGCGCGAGCGAAACCGCAAATACCGTATCAGAATTCGGCCGCGATCGCGCAATTCAAAGCTCTCCACTCGGCGCTTTCTCCGAGCGAAGTGCGCGTTTGCACGCGCGGTGCTCGGCGCGTCCGTGCTCGGGATGAGCCTCGCGCGGCGAGCGACCAAGCTGCGGAACCCATGTGTTGCCGCGTGAAAGCACGCGCTGTTGTGTCTGGCTCGACACGCCGGTCGGCGCCGTAGCAGTGACCGCGAGAGCGCCCGAGAGGAAACAGTCAATTGGCAGGCGGCGGCAATTCCGCGCGTCGCTGGCGCCAGCGACGCGTCGCTAATTGATCGCCCATCGGACAGCTGCGGCATCGACGCTCGCCTAATCGCGACGGGGGCAAAAGATAAGCAGCGACAAAAAATAAACGAGAGCCGAACAGCGAACTTCCATAAAGAGAGCTGCTTTGATCTCGGCCCGACTCAGCACGCGCGCGTGTCTCACGATATTGACTCTCTCGCGAGAAAGAGAGATTAAATCACGTCTCGGCGCGCACGTGGCCACTCGCCACTCTCCACTTTTGTTGTCCAAAGTTGCGCGCGCCGATTAATCAACGAAGACCCGCGCCGAGATCGGCGTTGCGCGCGATAAAACTCACTTTTCCTCGCTCGGACTGCTCTCGACTCGGCGACAGTGCGAGCGCGTCAGTCGCTCGCGGCATTACTAGGCCCGATCCGTCGTGACGATGACTGGGGGGCCGAATCCGCGCGACTCACAGTTCCGTTTTACCCCTGTAGTGCAGATTCGAGAAAGCAGCGCGCGACCGAGCACGAGTTGCAAGTGCAGCGTTTGCCGGCCGAACAATTGCGGATTAACGTGCGCTGATGCCGACAGAGAGAGAGAGAGAATTGCGCGAAAGAGCAGTACGTCTGGGCCCGAAAGGTACATTCGCTGTATACGTAAGGAACTCATTACTGGCCCCTTTCTTCATTCCCGACAAAGCAAAATTTCCCTGCAACTTGTCAGAGATTGGGCGTTCGTTGGTGTTCATTGAGTTTGGGATCGATTGCGCATTCTTTCGCACAATTTCAGATTCCTTCCGACAAACTGTAAGTAGTTTCGTATGTTATTCAAGTAGATTAGACGGCGCTGTACCGCCGAGAAACAGAAAGTTCTCGGTTAAGAGAAAACTAAAAAGAATCGCCGAGGACACTTTTACCCATGTAAATTCATACCGCATATCCATTATCGCCATAAACACTCCCGCGTAATGCCATCCGCTTATGTGAATACAATTACGTAAAGGGAAAAAGCAAACGGTATTCTCGAGTGGTCTGCAAACATCGTCCAAAAAAGTAGGCGTTCCGCTTAGCCGCAGCCGGAAAAAAGAAGAGACAAAAACGATCGACGCAAAGTCAAACCATCGCGTTCGAAAAGTCGCGGGGCGTTCGTTTCCGCGGCGCGTAGACACGCACAACGCGTGAAAATCACGGCGCGTGCGCCT